CAAGATGTCATATTGTTGTGCGGAGACTTCAACTCTCAGCATGTCGCCTGGGGATACAACAAATGCAGCCCGCGTGGCAGGCGCATCATGCAGGATGCCTCGGCGTACGGGCTGACGCTTCTCAATACGCCCCAAACACACACGAGGCTGGGACAGACAGTTCACCAAGCAGACACATCCCCAGACCTTACCTGGAGCACCCGCCCACAGCTATTTCAGTGGGAGGTGCTGGATGATTGCATGGGAAGCGACCACTTCCCCATACTTATACGATTTCGCACAGGTGACGCCATTACGAAGACGAAGTCACGCGCCAGCACACGGCTAAGCCACATCACACACTGGGACAAATATCGCGATTTACTACAGCAACAGCCTCCAGCCAAGAATATTGACCATCTGCTTTCTCAGCTATGCGCAGCGAAACGGCAAGCCACCAAGAACCTACGGGTTCCTTTTGACCACCCAGAACCTGATAGGCATCTTCTCACTCTGTGGAATAGAAGGCTACGTATTCTGGCCCAGTACAGGCGGTCTCGCCACGCTGCGCATCACAAAGCACGGTTGCGCAAAATACAGCGTTCTATTGAGACATATACGACCACGTTAGCGTCAGACCGCTGGATGGCAATTTGTGAAACCATGAATGGGCAGACCCACACGTCAAAGGTCTGGACCATCCTGCGCTCTCTCCTCGGCCAACGCAAGACCTACAATGGCGCGGCTCGTGTGGCCCTCCGGGAGGGCATCAGCACACAGGAGCTCGCCGAACAAGCTGCTGAAGTGTTTTTCCCGCAGACATCTCGCCCCACAGCCAATACGTACCGGAAGGATGCAAGCTCTGAAGACACTGAGCCATTTAATAGCCCTTTCACCATGCTCGAGCTGGAGTATGCCTTGCAACATGCTAACACACGTAGTGCTCCAGGAGCCGATGGAGTATGCGTTGCTCATTTACGCAATATGCCTCTTGAGTACAAACACGCTCTCCTCAAAGAGTTTAATACAGTCTGGGATACCGGAATACTGCCCTCCACATGGAAGTTTTCGGTAGTCAAGCCCATACCGAAGCCTGGTAAACCACCCCATACCTTATCCAACCTCCGCCCGATCTCTTTAACCTCGTGTGTCTGCAAAGTCATGGAGAGCATGGTTAACACACGCTTGATGTGGTACCTTGAAGATCGCGACCTTTTGGCCCCTACAATGTACGGATTCCGCGCGGGCCTATCAACTCAAGATGTACTCCTTCGCCTAAAAGAAGACGTCCTCGACTCTAACTCGGTGCACCCACGGGCTGTTGTAGCAGTGGACATACGCAAAGCATTCGATGGCGTACCACACAGTACCATCATGACGAAAGCACGTGCCCTTGGGATTAAAGGGAAAATGTATAACTTCATAGCGGGCTTCCTCGAAGGGCGAAGCTACCAAGTCGAAATCGGCCAAGACGCCAGTACCGTACGAACCAACCACGTAGGTGTTCCCCAGGGCTCGGTGATTTCACCCACCCTCTTTAACATAGCCATGTACCAGCTACCAAGACGCCTTGCGAACGTACCGGGCCTGAAACACGCGGTGTATGCAGATGATGTAACCGTGTGGACGCATCAAGGATCCGTCGGTGAGCAGGAGGATGTCTTACAACGAGCCCTCAACATTATTCACGACTACGCAATGGAAGCAGGTTTACACACCGCTCCAGACAAAACAGAGTTTGTCGTCATTCATGGTGGCCGAACCACGTTTGCCAAGCAGGAAGAAAAGAAGTGTTTTAAACTTCACATTGGCAATCAACCTATAATGAGGAAATCCACTATCCGAATATTAGGAATGCACTTAGACGAGAATTGCACAGCGAGCACTTGGTTCCAACGCGTTACGAAGACTAGCAAACAAATCCTTCATGCTTTACGCAGAATCTCTAATCGCACTCGTGGAGTAAACGAACGCGAAATGCGGCAGTTTGTTCAAGCTTTTCTCGTCTCACGTATCATGTATGGACTGCCGTATCATCCGGTCAACCGTACGCAGATAATCAAACTCGACCGGCTGCTTAACGAGGCCAAACGCATGGTTACCGGACTACCAAGGTACACACGCCTGGATGCGCTCAAGAGCTGCAGCAAGCTCAATAATCTGACCGAGCTCATCGACATGCACATCCACACACAGGAAACGAGGCTTCGCGCAACAAATGCCGGGCGATACACGCTTATGCTTCTCGGGTATGACATCAACACACTGCCCATGCTGCCTAACAAAACGCCGCCTTGGGAAATCACGGTACTCACCGACGGCAAGCCACTTCCGTTGAATATGGACCCTAATCAGCGAGCACGGCGCCTTAACTACGCCAAGAGACATGCTAGGGCCACGAGTTCACTCCCCATGACTGAACGCGTCGTATACACTGACGCTGCACTTCCTGCAGACGGTACCAGTAACACTTGTTATGCCACTGCGTGGTACGACCAGACAAACAGAAAGCAGAGCCGACGTTATCATGCTTCAGCAGATGCGATGTATAGCACTCGAGCAGAGCTAGTGGGCATCTTAGATTATTTGGAGTGGGCCCTCGAAATGTCACCTCAAACTGACCCTGTTCACCATCGTGTGTACACTGATTCCCAGGCTGCCCATCGGGCATGCGCTAATGTTCTTTACACAGATCCTGTACTCCAGAAGATCCGACACCAGACGCGCCTGCTCCGCGAATGTGGTCATGACGTTACCATCCACTGGGTCCCCGGGCATTGCGGTATCCCCGGAAACGAGAAGGCTCACAGATTAGCGCGCGCTCATCTCCTCACCGCGCTAGCCAGAGCTTCCGATACTCCTTCCACTTTTCTGGCTACCCCACCCGAGCTAGCAGATCCGATAGCAGATAAGCACATTACCAAACAACGTCGCGCCGCCTACCTCACAGCAGTGGGTAATCCACTCTCGATACCATTGCTTCCTTCGAAGGTATTCACACGGAGAGAGTCTGTCCTGCTTCGGAGAATTCAGGCAGGAACACTCCTTACCCCTTTCTTGCTGAACCGTTTCCACAGGGGTGACACGCCACCACCCGTGACAGGTCTCTGCTCCACGTGCAACTGCCGGGCTGATCTCAACCATTTGTGCTGGGAGTGCCCTGTGTACAACCCGCCTAGGCTCCGTGCCCTGGCCACCATAAAACGGGGACCCTGGCCTTCTTCTCTCCGGACATGGGCCTGCCCGGAGCCTTCGCCCCCTGATCGCGCCATCGAGTTCTGGCGAGCACTCATCATGTTCCTCCAGGACCCGGCCGCGCCACCGGTTGGCGACCGGCTCCGCGACAGCCACAAGATTCAAGCCATTCAAGCGGCCCCCACTTAGCTGCCTCCATGACGTCCGGTAATAAAACGGAGGCAGCTCTACCCCCCCCCCCCTGCTATAGTGCCCTGACTGTCCACCGCAGCGCCTTCGGCGCGAACAAAGTGGAATAAACATGGTTTCATTCATTCATTCTCATGTGCTCGCTGAAGTCCTACAGGCCACTGACACCATCTATAAGACCACCTCGACATGTCATCCGCAAACAAATGGTGTCACTGAGCGTTTTCATAGAACTTCGTCAGGCATGATCTCTATGCCCAGCCTTATCACAAGAACTGGGACACTTTACTACCTTTTGTCACAATTGCCTATAACACTGCCATTCAACGCACTACAAGTTACAGCCCATTTTTCCTTCTTTATAGCCGCGCACCATCTTTTGTTCTAGACACGAGCTTCTTGTCAGCAACATTTGTCCCATATGCGTCCCTTCTGGAAGAGTTCACTGCCCGTGCCAACCACTGCCGCACAATTGCCCGCGCCGACACCTCTATTATTCAGGCCCAGCGAAAAGTTCATTGTCATGCGACACGTGAAATTGTGTGATTCTACCCAGGTGACGAATGGCTCCTCTGGACACCTGTTCGGACAACCAGCCTCTGTGAAACCTTTGCCCCACCGCGGTGGTCTATAGTGGCTAAGGTACTCGGCTGCTGACCCGCAGGTCGTAGGATCGAATCCCTGCTGCGGCGGCCGCATTTCTGATGTAGGCGGAAATGTTGTAGACCCGTGTGCTCAGATTCGGGTGCCGGTTAAAGAACCCCAGGTGGTTGAAATTCTCAGAGCCATCCACTACGGCATCTCTCATAATCATATGGTGGTTTTGGGACATTAAACTCTACATATCAATTTGTTCACAGAATTTTTGCAAAGAAAACTTTGTTCACAGATACATGGGTCCTTACACCGCGCTTGAACGAAGACCGGCCGTGAAATATCGCGTCGCTCTGGTTACTTCGGCTTCTGATCGCCGTCGTAGCGGGGCCGACATCGTCCGTGAGTCTCGCCTGAAGCCTTATATTCGGCGCTCGTAACCTTACTAAATGGACGTTTTGCAGACCGCTTTTGTGTAGGAGGGAAATAGTGCGATTACTGACTGTGCAGTTCATCATCTTCGACTACAAATCATTGTGATCATATTCATCGTAGCATCTCGCCCCATGTTCGGTTGCTGGCTCGCGCGTCTGCGTTGAAAAATACAATGGTCGCTCCTCCGTACCTGACTTCATCTCACACTGTTATTTTTTTGACGGCTTAGTAATAAAAACCTCCAGCCCTGCACAGAACGTGCCGAAGAGTCACAGTGAAAGCTGGACGAGTTACCTTTCTAAAGCCACTTTATTCCTGTAATGATTGATTGATATGTAAGGTTTAACGTCCCGAAACCGCAACCATGTGATTTCCACTGTATGATATTTGGTACATTGAATATAATACCTCCATGACTCAAGTATAGGTGTCAAGATAAGCAACTATTGAGGCCTAATGAAGAAAGTACAGTGACTTATATGTTATACGATAGGAAAACAGTATATGCAACTATTACCGTTTTATAGTCACGCTACAAACACAATTTTATTCATATTTTTCTTAAAATGAACTGCACAAGAAGAGTAAAAACAGCCATCGTTTTCTCGCTATTTCTCTGAAGGCAGAAATGTTCGTGGACATTACAGGGCTAAACACTTTTTGGTAACTGCTACAAGGACACTTGTAGGATACCCCCACGCCCTTATTTGTACTAATTTCATGTATTATGAAGGCAGTTGGTATGCCACTCGTTATTCTTCAGAGAAGCGTGGTGCAAGCAGAAAACTTGCAAGGATTTATGTTTTTTTGTTGATTCAAAGGCTATGATGACGAAGAATTACGTCTGAAACCCTTTTGTAGGGGGTTGACCTGATCGACTTCCCTCTAGTTACGCTATTTACACTGTGTGACACCTTGTTGTTCATGCGCTGTTCTAAAACACTTTATTACACATATTAACGCGATTCTTTACCCAACATGAAGCTTGCCTATTATCACTTCACACTGGAATATCAAGCAACAGTGTAGCTCAGTGGTAGAATACTAGGCTGCACGCTGGAGGCCCAGATTTGAATCGAATTTTTGCCGCGGCATTTCTTATTTATTTAGGTTATTTCGCTTCTTTCGAACGATAGTTGTTACAGACACTAGCGGTGGTGGACAACTACGGCACCAAAAACAACCCTTGTTTCGATCTCTTAACAGCTTTCACTGTAGTATTGACTTATATTACATCAGGGCTCAATCGTTTGTCAGATCCAAATGCACAAGTAGTCACGACGTATTCAGGACCAGAAAAGGGATTTTTTTAGCTTTTATTATCACTCACACCTATAAATTATCCGAGCCATTTAACTGCTGCTGATCCACGTGCCAAAATACGATATGATTATGACGCCTTACAGTGTCAATTTACGGTTCTTAGGCGTAGACCTAAATCAAGGGCGTTCTTTCATTACAAGAATGGCACCTTCTGGTGGTGATTGTAGCAAAGCATACATATCGGCAGGCCCTGTGACATCAAAAGCGCGAGTGCCATCTCCAGTTTCCTACAAATACTAGCTGTTACAAATGGCCGATTGTGCTCCAAATTATAACTATTTGGTGGTGCTTTATGCACTTAAACTAAGATATAGTTATGAGACACGTCATTGTGGCGGATATTGAATAAAGTGTCGACCACCTGCGGTAACAAGCATCTGAATCTACGCACGCAGCCCTCAAGCTTTTCGCCTCAAACGAAAAGCAGTAGTTCAATTTACCGACTACAAACTTTGTTGTGAACACTCACACTTGCCCACAGACATATTGCGGTCACTAATTTAGTTCATAGAGTGATAGCTACCGGGCTACCAAAATATAAGCAACAAACATATTTCACTTTGACGTTATAAGGCTAACACTGCAACCTATGCCGAATTGTAGGTTGTGATAGTTATATTTTAATGCTACAGTAGGTTCGTTGGTATTTGCTGAAGTGGCTCGAATCAGCCAGGTTAAGCTATGCAGCACTCTTATTATTCCCAAACAACGGCAACGTCTTGGAGGCTACAATCACAAATATGGTCTTTCTAACACCGATTCACACAAGAGGTACATATTTAACAAATGTAGATAGTTTTTTTTTCCAGGTTTTGTGAAATGCAGGTTTAAGAGTTCATCGAGAGAATGGCAGTATTCACTGTGCTGAGCATTTTAGACCAGATAATTGCTTGCCTTCTGTAGGAATTCTCCACGGCAGACACTCTTCTTCGAATGTACACAAGTCTGAAATGAAAAACAAAAGATGATGCTGCTGAATGCTTGCCTGGTTGCTCCTATATTTTAACAAGTATTCACCCCAAGCAACCATGGAAGCGACAACAGGAGGGAACATGCATGGGAAAGCGGGGCACATGTTCTGACAATGAAACTGGAAAAAAAAGCAACAAAAATGCTAAAATAGTGTTCTCTCACTGTATGGCGGGCATTTTCCATCCGTGTACTCAATGTCGTCGATCATGACACCTGACTGACGCTTTTCTCCCGCTGGAGCCACGACTTCGAAGACAAGCTGCGAGTGAAGTAACGTATTTTTTTTTTCAATGAAACAATGAATTGTTATTTTATTTAAATTCATGAGATATTCAAATATCATGAAGGCTATAGATGAACAAACAGCATCAAGTGTTGGACTTTATTATAATAATCAAAATGAATAACAACATTGAGGCCTTGCACTGTGGAGGAATTTTCGACTAGCATCACATTATAAACACACTGACTTAGAGGAGTGCTAAAACACATCTTGAACCTAATAAAGAAACTTTCTGATCTGTAGATGAGGTTTTCTCGTATATGCTCGCTAAGAGTCCTATATCTGCGAATGCCGCGCTGAATAACAACGCCCTATGAGGTGCCACTTGAACTTGCCTCAGATACACCAACAGTCTATTATGAAAGGCCATGAGCTGTAAAATTGTAGCCCACGTAAATAGCATACGTAACTTGAAATTTTATGTATACCTGGCAGTCACCATATAAAACTTGAAAACTATGTTCTGAACGGAACCACACTAAAGCCGAAAAATTTGATTTGCAACTTGCGATACCGTTGATACTTATTTTTCAAGGGTGGTAAACGAAATAAAAACTGAAGAGTTGTAGTGTTTTTTTAAAGTTGTGAAATTAATTTTACATTTTTTTTCGGCACTGTTCTAATAAAACAATACAGCCGAGTTACGTTATAATTATATCAAATTTAGCCTGACTGAAATAACAATGCTGTGTGCCTCTAAAAAGTGAGTCGAAGCTGCCTAGGTGAATCAGCAGTGCCTAAATGGTACAAAAAACACCAGCACAGACAGGAACGGAGGTGGAAACACTCACGAACGCAGACTCACAGCTGAGTGTTATATTAAACAATCCCCGTGTTTTGACGACTGGCGCGATTCTACGCATCTGCCTCACTATATTACATGCGTTATGGAGACGCCTCCCACCACACGGCAACAATAAAATGTTATTTCTGAAGCATTTTCAAGCGACGGCGAGTGTTTGGGGCATAGGACACCTGCTCACCACGAAAGTGCCCTGGGTTCGATTCTCCATTAAACGAAACGTTTCTATGCGAATGCGTTTCTTAGTCGGCCTACGCCAGGCGTCCTTCGGGATCCGTCCACCGCCCTCTCCTATACCAACAGCTTCGGGTGCGTGGGCCCCTGGCAACCGGTTCCTGCACAATGTCACGCTTCGGCGACGGCAGCAGTCAGCAACAGCTGCGGGCGGGCGCACTCATCCTCGCCACTAGCAACTGGAGTCCCCAGCTCCTTGACTTTAACATGATTTTTCATCACCTCAATGCAGTGCGGGTGAAACGCGTTGGTGGCGTTAGTGCTGCGAGCGTTTGTGTAGAGTTTGTGTTCATAAGACGCTGACATTAAGGTCGTCAGGTACAATGACAGGTGAAGTACTTTGCTCCTCCTTCTCTCGCCGTTCACTCTCGCTTCTCCCTGCGCCCCACTTTCGCGCCCATTCGCGCGTCATTCTTCACCGTATAATGGTATTGTATAATGGTATCAATACCGCACTTGGTATGCCATAATATGACTGTATGACGAGCATAACTGACTAGACAAAACATGAAAATCATGATATGTATGTCATGAATGTCATTATTCACATTTCAAGGTGTTGCTACTCTTGCGGTGATTTCGTTCACATGACATGTTCCAAAACTGGCATGATATGACAGAACTGCATAGCGAACATCAGTGACAGACCTTAATGTAGAAATCATGACATGTATGTCATGAGTTTCATGTTATGACTAGCCATGACTAGACGCCACGCTTCTGGTGCGCTTGCGGTCGTTTCGCTAGCTTCAGGTATACCAAATTTGGTATTACAGTACCTGAATGGATGACGAAGGTAAGTGAGTGGTGCAAACAAAATATTCATGAGATGCGTGTCTTGTAACGATATGACTACATGCCACGCTCATCATGAGCTGGCGGGCATTTCGCTAGCTTCGCTTATACCAAATTTCGTATTATGGGTCGTTAATGAATGACAATGGTACATGACTGGTTCAAACATGATAATCATAAGATGTGTGTCATGTAAACCATGACTACATGCCAAGTTCACGATGCGCTCGCGGCCGTTTGGCTAGCTTCACTTGTACCAAATTAGGTATTACGTGACAAGAACGGATGACCTAGGTGAAGGACACATCCAAACATGATAATAATTACATGCGTGTCATATAACAACATGACTTCGTGCCCCACTCATGATGCGCTCGCGGCCAATTTTCTAGTTTTACATATACTAAATTTGGTATCACGTGACGTGAAAGGATTACGAAGGGGTGGGCTGGCGCAAACATGATAATCGTGAGATGCGCGTCATGTAACAACATGTCTACATGCCACACTCAAGGCATTGATACACTTTGACGTGACCCGGTGCGCGTGTGCGCTGGCGTTCGTTATGTCACGCCTAAAGCCCCTTGATCTAGTCGCGTCACGCAGGGGATGCCACGCCAGGCGCCTATCTGCCTGCCATATACTTGCAGGCGCGCGCCGCGCTGTGTTGCTTTGACGCACGCGCGTTTGACCACACCCGGCGTCCCTCCATCACGAAGAGAAGCAGACTTAGTGTTATCTAGATAGAGCTGGGTAACGTCATGGGCGCGAAATGGAACATGTTGCATTTCGCACCGTTTGCGACCGGGTCACGCTGATGGACACTGGCCGCGCCGGTCGCACCTGGCATTCGTTTGCTAGCGCAGCGTCGCTGCGCCCAGGGTGCGCGCTCGTCAACGTTACATCAGGGTATAATGGGCCCTTCATGATGCACGCGCGGCCGTTTCGCTAGCTCTACATCTACCAAATTTGGTATCAAGTGACGGGAATAGATGGAAAGAGTAATTAAATGTGCGAATATGATAATCATAAGATGTAAGTCATGTATGGCATAATTTACCTACACCTCGTAACCTTTTACTGGTGTTAAAGTGACAAATCAACCTTTCTCATTCGTGCTTCGCATATTATTGGTTCCTACTGTACGTGCAATCTGCCAATTGTTTTTATTACTGATTTTGTTTGCAGCTTATTTTTCTCGATGTTTCGGTTGTGGACAACGCTGATTTTAGACTCACTGTCTGCGCTGACGACGCCCACACCAGCATTTCTGCGAAACAAGCTTTGACACGCTATCGCGTTAATAGACAGATTTTGTGGAGCGTCCAAAACAGCTTCGCGGACGCCGCCTGCCTTTGAATATGGCTTGTGTTCTGCGTTCGCAGAGGCACTGTGGACGCGCAACCAAATCTAAGATTGTGTTGAACCACTTGCTTTGCTAGAACACCCACACATTTGTGCCATCTCATTAAGGCCCAAAAGCAAAAACTCACCCTCCAATACGACTTTGACGAAACAGTGACTGAGCGTGCATTCCACCAATCACCTTCGTCATCAGTACGCATCGACAGCAGCGGGTCTCGGTACGATGTCTCTTTCGAGTACCTATGCAGGTGCGCCATGTAAAGACATTAGCAATGTTTCACCGACTGCATACTGAACAATTTACAGCTGCACATATGTTTTATGAGACATATACTGATAGCACTCCAGTAGGTGAAGACGAGCACGATCCACAGAGGAAAATCACCTGTCCAGCGTAGTCATACAAAGCAAAGCCCCTGTGCAGTTCTTGTTATTAGCATTAACGTTTGTGTTAACAGCGCTGAATTCGCATACCAAACGATGTGAATATTACAAATGCCCACCATTCCAATTTTACTCAGAACGTCCTCTCAGTTTCAACAGAGAACTATTGGTAAAATGCCAATTAGTTCTCCACACGAAAGGTCTTTCTATGTACAGCGACGCGAAAATCATGGACTTTCTCCTGGGTCTCCTGTAGGGCAATTTTTGTGGTATCATATAGCAGTGGTTATTGCAAGCATACATATATTAACGATTAGCTTCGATTAGCATGATGTACCCGAGCCAGACTTCCCTTTCACGCTCATCACTGCTTTAAGTCTGCCACGCATTTAGTAAGCCGCGTTGACGAGCTCAATGTGAAACCCTTCCATTAGAGACCACACCTTGCTCAACTGGCACCCATGTGCCCTGGCTCCTGGCGGAATACTCTCCCGCCCAGATGCCATTTTGTTCTGAACTGCCAAGTCGTGTATTTATTTCCAAGTTAGCACGAAAATAAAAGTGCTAAAAAGCACCTGCTCGCACGTGACCTACTAGAGGTCATCTTGGAACAACTGTGCCATCTTTAGATGCGAAAACAGCAAGCGCAAGAGAAAAAGATTACTAAGCACGGTTGGTGTCTATCACAACACAACGTTAGAATTATGCCAGTGTGGTGTTTTTTCCATAGATTTTTATCCACGACAAATCGAGCTTCGTTTCTAGTAAATGATTTAATGAACAGAAAAAATTACGAGCCCAGTAAATTGCACAAGTAAGTACACCTATTGCGTGTATTCAAGCGTGAAGTCAACTGTCTTGTTATAGAGATTTGACCTTTGCGTGATACGCAGGTGTGCTCTGAGCACTTTCCGGACAACAAGCCTTTCTAGCTGAACCCCACGTGAATGATGCAAAGCGTACAACAATTATTACGCAATTCATGCCACAATGCTCAGTTTTCACACAACTTTGGGTGCGAACTGTGGTATGCAGCACGAAATCATCGCTGTCTTACTTCGCAAGCTGCATGCCAATACTTCGAGGCATTACAACTCACACATGTATGAACACGCCGCGCGCGTTTAGTTTAGTGTAATGGCATACAGACCTGTCAGTGTGAACTGCACAGGTTTTAGACATTCTGGACTGTCGAGAAAAGTCCTGCCGACGTATCGTAACGAAGCAGAACTATATTTCTAGGAAAAGAGAAGCATGAAACATGCTCAGTGCTGCAGACTTAGGTTGGGAAGTTTCGCACTTGATTTGCGGAGCTTCTCCTGGTATGACAAGTCAGTGCCTTGCTGTAGTGCGCTTGCCACAGGTGGCACAACATGCAGTATTCATATTTCGGCGCGCACAAAACTCAATGTGCTCTGGAGTTCAGAACAATGGTTATTCTTCTTCGGAAAAATAAAAATGCACACATCTGACACCAATTAGGGAAATCTACCATGCGATAGTGCACTGTGAAAGAGTGAATTACCTTTCAGAGACAAGAAATGAGACTAAGTAGATGCTAAAATACTTAGCTACAACGTACCAACCAGGTAGCAACACACTTTGTCAAGAAAGCATCTGTTCCATTTTATACGGTTACTTGAATCCGAAGCAAACATACATCAGTTTTTATAGTGCTGTTTTATTTTAGTAGCATTAGAAACGTTACCAGCGCCTGCAACGTAAAGATATGTTATGAAAACATAATTTTAATTTGCATCCTACGCTTCTCTTGACGAACCTCTTTGGCCTGCAATGGTTTTCCAGCAGATTAGTCGTTTTATTTGGTTTATACCGTTCGAGCTTTTACCTACCACAAAATAAAGAGCCCCAGTTAACTCTTATTTCTAGTGAACACGTAGTTTGTATTGTCCAACCCACCTGTACACGTTGAGTTGACTTCGGGCACCCTTGCCTTTCCACCAGAACGTAATGCACGTAGCTTCGGTTGGTTGTCTTGTGGACATGATCAATCTGGCCATAGGGTGATGTGAATTCAGTGCTGTCGTGTTCAAGTACAAGTAGGTGCCTGCAAGTTGATTAGGGTTCAGGAACAGGGCAATCAGTAAAGTGGTGCCCCTGTTCTCTGAATGCTTAAAACATGAGGGTGGCCATCACTTTTGTGGAAAACAGCTGACTGCAGGAATTTAACACTCTTTGTCCTTAGAGGGTAGCCTTATAGACGTCTTTATTAAGCACTCTGATGCACCTGAACACAACGTTCTTGCTACTTCATATTGTTACTACTTGATATAAAAGAGAGACGAGTGAGTTTGCGATAGACAATTGTATCTGTAACGGTCTCTCTAAAGTTTTGATTCTCGTAATTTAAAAAAAGCCCAAGTCCTGATGATTCTACCAAATGTGCTGGTAAACGTGAGTGCGCCACCATAAATAATTTACCTATATTTGAATGTTAGTCTGAATTATTACTGTAGTGTGACGACATAACATGGCACGACCCTAATTCTTGTCATGTATTCGTGCAAGGTACCACGACGTTCAAACGGCAGTTCTCCACCCCAATGGCTCTACTTGTAAATTACCATAGCCCATTGGGTATCCTTCGGTACGTGACGCAATTACAAGTAGCTGAACGGGTGCGCGAAATCTACAGAACTGAAATTGCAGCCTGACGTCACGCCAGTGTCGATGTCAGTAAGTACGCCAAGAAGAATTGGCTGAAGATTGGCTTTACTTTCCGAATAAAATCTTCACCTTCTCTGGGTCTCAACCTCCTACAGAACCATCCCTGTATAAATGAGTTTTATACCATGAAAGAACTTCACGATCAAAATTTTGTATCAGCAGCTCTTAACAATGTCACAATGCTGGATAATTTTTTACACTCCGTAAGACAGTGATTGGTATCAAATTCATCATTTCATCATATATGCACACATCTGACACCACCCGAAGTTAGCACCTGTACAGTGCTAACTTCAGGTTTTTAGTTAGCACCTGTACAGTGCTAACTAAAAACTACGTGAGATATGTGTTCCTCAATCGTTCCTTCCAACGCACGTTACCAATGATAATAGACATGCACTGACCTTCGAGGCTGTTGGTTATATGGTCCGGGACGCCGATTTGGGATGCTAGCCGACGCCTCCACTGGGCTACATTGTGGGGGCCATTGAAGAACTTGCACGACGTAGCCCACTCCCAGGAGCAAAAATCTGAAGCCGCACAATTGTCGTTGGGGTAAGCATTATCAGTGCACTTGATTATTAAAAGTGGAAGACTACTTTTCAATTGTTTGCTTTCTCCAGGGTTTTTCTTGGACTAAACCCCAAACAATCTTAATTTATCTGCTCATCTTAGCATTCGTTTTCTTGCAAAGAAGGCGTTTAGCTAATGTGGAATCCTGAATTCATTATACATCTCTGTTTAGGACTTTAAATACAGGTCTGTGATAAATAAATAAATAAATAAATAAATAAATAATTTATACCATGCCTATCCTAGTCCTTCGCTCACAGTAATTTATTCACGGTGCGTATACTGTTGTCAACAAAGTAAAGCTCCTTTGGAAAGAATGCAACGAGAGAGTTTCCTGTAAAATCACGAAGTGCATTTGAGCTATGCAGATTGTCCGGGCTCGCTGGGGTACATTGTCGTTTCGATGCGTATTACTTCGGAAGTTTTCGTATATGTCGCGGACCACCACGAGGACCCGTTATCGCCCTGATATATAAAGGGCCCCATTAAAAGAGAAGTGCCGCCATATCCACGAAGTAAATGATGATGAGTGGGTAAAGCTCCGGCGATAACCTGGTAAACCATGAATCCTCCATACATTTTCAATCAATCAATCAATCAATCAATCAATCAATCTTTATTTTTGCATAGTATGGTTACATTGTTAAGGATATGCAGAAGAGGGTCCCAAGGTCAGAAAAAACCGTACCGGGACCCTCTGTACATGATCATTAGGTAAGGATTACGAAATATGCACGAAAATGGAAATAATAAAAGAAATATCAAGTCAACCTAAAAACAAGTGTACAATAGTTATACAGAAAGAATACTACGATAACGATAATCGGAGACATCGACATTTTTACGCGTACAGAACTGTTTTCTAATTGTATAAATACTGATATTAAATATACATACACATACATATTGTAGCGATGCTGACGCCGACAGGTTAAGAAAACAAGCGTCTTTATTAGGGCGAACTTGTGCCCACGATTCTAAAAACTATGGTCGTCGAGTTCGAGTAGCCGAGTGGCACAGATCCGACTATCTTCCTCTTCCTCGTTGTTGAACGTGCGAACGCGTGGCGCATGCCAGCCGAGCCGGGTCTTGCTGGTGCTGGTGCCACGATGATTGTAGCGGGCTACTTGAATGTGGCGAACCTGTCGCAGCATTGCCCCCTCCTCAGACACATCGTCCCGATGCTTAAGACAGTGAAAAAATACACGCGCACTCTCACTCGTTTTTTGACGATCTGTCATGATAGGGCTTCATGCGGACTACGTGGACCACTTCCGTGGGATTGCGGCGTCTTGAACTCACGTGTCCAGCGAATCTAACTTCATAAGTGACGTTGCTGATACGGTTGAGTACTTCATAAGGGCCGAAGTATCGGCAAAGAAGCTTTTCAGAGAGTCCGTGGCGGCGCACTGGTATCCATATCCACACTTTGTCACCGGGATGATAAAGTGTGTCACTGCGTCGCTTGTTGTAGCGACTAGAATCGACGTGCTGTTGGTGGCGTATTCGGTATCTTGCCATTTGCCGTGCTTCTTCGGCTCTTTGCAAAAAGTCATCTAAGTCAGGTGGATAGCTGCTTTCGTCCTGTAGTGGTAACATGGCATCCAGCGGGGTGGTCACTCTTCGGCCGAATACTAGTTCGAAAAGGGCAACGTGGGTTGTTTCTTGAACGGCTGTATTATATGCGAATGTTACGTAGGGTAATATTTCGTCCCACTGTTTGTGTTCAACATCAACATACATTGATAGCATGTCGGTCAAAGTTCTGTTGAGGCGTTCGGTTAAGCCATTTGACTGAGGGTGATACGCCGTTGTTCTTCTGTGATTGGTATTTGTCATGCGCATCAGACATTGCATAAGGTCTGCAGTAAATGCGGTGCCCCGATCCGTAATAACGACGATGGGCGCACCATGTCTGAGCACTGTGTTGTTCACAAAGAACTTGGCGACTTCGGCAGCTGTCGCACTGTATAGAGAGTCAGTTTCGGCATAACGGGTGAGATAGTCTGTGGCTACGACTATCCATTTCTTGCCTGCACGCGATGTCGGCAAAGGTCCTAGGAAGTCCATGCCGACTTGTTGGAATGGGGCATCTGGAGGGTCTATTGGCTGGAGAAGGCCGGCTGGCTTTACGGGTGGAGTTTTGCGCCGTTGACATTGACGACAAGTTTTCCCGTAGCGCTGCACTGATGCGAGCAACTTAGGCCAATAGTATTTCAGGCGAATCCTGGTGAATGTTCGGCTCACACCCATGTGTCCAGATGTCGGCTCGTCGTGGCATGCGTGCAGAATTTCCTCTCGCATGGCTGTGGGCACGACTAGTAAAAACGTTTCACCATTAGGTTCGAAGTTCCTCCTGTAAAGGACACTTCCTCGAAGGCAGAACGCGGAGAGCCCTCTGGAGAATATGCGAGGGACTTGAACGTCGAGACCCTGCAGGTGTTGTATAAGTGCCAGCAAATCCGGGTCATCTCGTTGTAGTTGAGCGATTTTGGATGTGTCGACAACGCCTAGAAACGGGAAGTCTTCCTCTTCAGGTACACTTGGATCGACGGGAGAGCGTGACAGGCAGTCGGCATCGCTGTGTTTCCTTCCCGATTTGTACACGACCGTAATATCATATTCCTGCAGCCTAAGGCTCCATCTTGCTAGTCGACCTGACGGGTCCTTGAGATTTGCCAGCCAGCATAGAGCATGGTGGTCACTGACAGCTCTGAACAGTCTACCATAAAGGTAGGGTCGAAACTTGTTTATGGCCCAGATGACTGCGAGGCACTCTTTTTCAGTTGCAGAGTAGTTTGCCTCAGCTTTTGATAGTTTGCGGCTGGCATAGGCTAACACTTTCTCTTGACCATTTTGCCACTGGACAAGGATGGCGCCGAGGCCGACATTGCTGGCATCGGTATGGACTTCTGTGTCGGCTGTCTCGTCAAAATGGGCAAGTATTGGTGAACCCTGTAGTCGTTTCCTTAATTCGTCAAAAGCTTTCTGTTGTTCGCTTTCCCACGTGAAGGAGACGTCGTCTTTTGTCAGTTTTGTAAGAGGTTCCGCAATCTTTGAGAAGTTTTCCACAAATCGTCTATAATAGGCACATAAACCCAAAAATCGACGCACTGACTTTTTGTCTCTGGGTGTAGGGAACCTCTGAACAGCGGCTGTCTTTTCGGGATCGGGACGAACACCCTCGGAGCTAATGACATGTCCAAGGAATCGCAGCTCTTCGAAGCCGAAGTGGCATTTTTCGGGTTTGATTGTCAATTTCGCTGACCGGATGGCTTCCAATACTGTGCGTAGTCGCTCTAGATGTTTGTCGAACGTTGCAGAGAATACCACCACGTCATCCAAATACACTAGGCATGACTGCCATTTCAATCCGGCGAGGACAGTGTCCATCATTCACTGGAACGTCGCTGGTGCGGAAAAGAGGCCGAATGGAAGCGCTTTGAATTCGTAGAGGCCATCTGGTGTTACGAATGCCGGTTTTTCACGGTCCCGCTCGTCGACCTCTATTTGCCAATATCCGCTTTTCAGATCTAAGGAGGAGAAAAACTTTGCGGATCGCAACCGATCTAGTGTATCGTCGATACGTGGCAAGGGGTAGACATCTCGTTTAGTTACACTGTTCAGTTTTCTGTAGTCGACGCAGAATCTAAGTGTGTTGTCTTTCTTCTTAACGAGCACTACGGGAGACGCCCATGGACTATTCGAAGGCTGGATGACATCATCAGAAAGCATCTCCTCCACTTGCTTCTTGATAATTTCCCGTTCTTTCTGTGACACCCGATATGGACGCTGGCATATAGGCCTCGTGTCGTCTTGCGTTATAATTCTGTGTTTCGTGATTGACGTGCGCTGGACCTTCGAGGTACTTGAAAAGCAATCACAGAATTCTTTTACCAAGGCGTAAATCTGTTTCTTCTGACTGTCCGGAAGGCTCTGCTTGACGGTCACGGATGTGTCGATGTTGCAGGCCACTGGTCGAGTGGTTGATGTCGTTAAGCTGCATAGTTCGGTCGCCATACAGAAGTCGTGTAAATAGGCGATAGCCGTGCCTTGAGCGATGTGTTGAAGCTCATTGGAGAAATTTGTGAGTAGGACATCTGCACGGCCATTCGTCAAGTGAACAAGACCCCTAGCTACGCAGACACCTTTGTTCAAAAACAGTCCTACATTTGTATCCGCTACGCCTTCGCGGTTGTACAATGCATCATTTTCTACGAGCACCATTATACTGCAGCGTGGCAGCACAGTTACGTCATCATGAACAACGCGTAAAGCAGTTAGGCGTCGTTCCTCAGATTCCTCCACAGGTATAGCTCGTTCAGTCGAAAACGACACGCTGGACCTACGCAGGTGAATTACGGCGCCATTAGCTCGCAAAAAATCCATTCCTATAATGAGTTCTCTTGAACATTCTGGCAGCACTATGAAATCGGCCACGTAAATAAAGCCCCGTATTTCAAGTCATGCAGTGCATCTGCCAAGGGGCGTAATAATGTGACCGCCTGCCGTGCGTATCTGCGATCCACTCCACTGTGTCACAACTTTGTTTAGCTTTTTCACCATCTTGTGATTATCACTGAATAATCAGCACCGGTGTCGACTAAGGCATTCAGCTCCCATCCTTCCATTCTCAACCGCAAATCTGAAGTAACGTTTTCGTTGCTGCACCCATCTACCGGAAATACACCGTCATCACCCTCAAACCAAATTGGAGGACCTTCGTAACTGACGTTATCAGCGGCCTCACCTCCACAGGTCGCTTGCTTCAGTTTTCCGGGTGTGGGCTTGGAGAGCGATGACCAGGCTGCCTTGAAGGTGTACGTGGGCTGGATGACCGGTAGCGCATAGGCGATGGTGACCGTGACCGGTGTTGGCGTAGAGTTGGCGAGTTCTGGCGCGTCGACAAGTACTCCTCAATCTCCGCTGGTCGTTCGCCGTTTCGGGGGCACGGTGC